TGTGTGTGTGTGTGTGTGTGTGTGTGTGAAATTAGAATTCTTATGGATTGCCAATGCAATTCTGTCTTACCATGTCATATTTGCTTTAACTGACTTGCCCTCTGTGACTTCTTGTTTAGAAGCCCTATTGTAACATTTATCTAATGAGATTAAAAGAAGGATGCAGCCCAATGATTAAAGGTAATAAAGTCTCTTGAAGTGAGCTGGGTAGCTTGACTGATTTCTGTTACTTGAAGAATCAGATGCATTGTTCTTTTTTTAAAATGTAATCCATAATTACATAATTCATGGATGAAGAGAATACCATATATAGACAAAATTTTAAGCTGAAGTTTTTAAGTTCAAGAAAAGAGAGTCCTTTTATCAGTGTTAAAAAAACATATTAAGGGGACAACTACAAAAGTAAACAAAGAAAAAGTTTTTTAAGATATAAATGTACAAACTCACAGAAACATGCCAAATGTGGTTGTTTATTCATCTTGTTGATAGATGAAAATGAGAAGCGGACCAAGGAGATAACAGGAAATAGTTCTTCAAGGAATTTTTGAAAAAGAGATGTCTATGTTATAGAAGCCTAGGGCGCCTTCTTGGCTAACGGATGCTCTAATGAATATCTAATTAATAAAAAAAGTCATGTTCTTTCCTTTCCTTTTCTTCCACTGGAATTCTGCTGCAGTTTTTCTCCTGAATAAAATGTAGAGTGATCGACTATTACAAAACTATCTCCAAATTAAATGAGACTGTGCAATGTGACTTTGCTTCTTCTAATTACACTTTCATAAAGAAATTCTAATGGGCTAAATGACCACTCCTTTGAAGTGACAGAACTTTAAAAAATCTTTGCAAAGATAAATTTTTGAAAGTCATAATAAGAGGCTGAAAAATATGAAATTGTTTTAGGAAAAGAATGTTGTGTCTTTGTGTTTTCTCAAGGCATAGCAGTATAAACAAGGGGTAAACAAGGGGCGGATTTCCTGGATGGCCGAAGGAGACATCAGCAAAGACAGTGAAAGAGAAGTGGTCTCCAGAGCCGTAGAAATGAGCACTGGAGTCCATTATATACACACACACACACAAACCACACAATGACTGTGACACACATGGATCCATTGAGGCACATTTGGGATCATTGGGTCTTCTCAGTGTAAAGGAAATGTTAAATGGCTGGACCGGGAACTCCAGGCTGTCTGGCCACTAGTTTGAACTTGTTCAACATCTTGGTGTTGTGTCAGCTTCGAGTGACCTTGTCCTTGACCATTGTCTTTCTGGTCTTGTGTAATCTATTTCTGTGGGGCAGGTCTTTCTAGTATTGCGTATCTCCACAGGGCACATAATTTCTCATTAAGGAATTGATGTTCCATGTGGAAAGGAGTAAAATTACTGAAAATAAATCTTATAAACCTGATAAACCATTGACTGTAAAGAAGTGAGGAGCAATAAAACCAATTAAAATGTGAAGAAATGGAATTAGAGAAATGGCGTGGTGGGTGAAGGCCGCCCAAACCCAACAAGGAGGAGTTTGATCCCCAGGACCCACGCTGGCGGAAAGAGCCAACTCCTGCAAGTTGCCCTCTAACCAACCCTTATGCAAACACACACACACACACACACACACACACACACACACACACACACACACACACACACACACGGAAGCTGGGGCAGAGACACACAGAGCGAAAGAGAATAAATGTAATCAAAATTAAAATTTTACGTAAAGAAATTCTCTTTACATTGTTTTTTTTTCTTATTATTGTTTAAAAAAGGAAACAGCAAAGAATGGGAAGAGCTTGTTCATGACTATTCTTTGTTTTTAATCAATAGTATGAAAATATAGTGATTTTCCATTGTTCATTCAACAACCAGAGTCTATGAAGAATTAACTATTTAAGATACTTGAAATTTCTTTTAAACTGAGTCATCTAAGCAGCAGCAGAGGGTGGCTTATTTGCGTCAGCATCATTCTCTCTGTAGCAGAGGACCCAAGAGCATCCTGGAAATTCTAAAGGCTTTGGGGTCATGACCTCCAGTAAAGTAGCTTTACTTACTAGTTATATGGGTTTGTATGAGCTGTTAATTCCAATATTTCTATGTGTGAAATGAAGGTAAGTAGAATAGTAGGATGTTGTCATAAAAGGTCAATTTATGTGAAATACCTGGCACTCAATATGCATACATCTTAAAATTGTTAAGAATATCTTTTATTGACTGAGTATTTCATGGAATATATAAAAGAGAATTAATACATATATCAGTTGTAATCACAAGGCTGTGATGTTACATATTAAAATCTCTAACATTCTCTATGACAACAGTTTTCAAATATGTAAAGGATATTTTTAAAGATGTCATTCTTAATTTCAATTGTGCATATATTGCAGGACTTGTGAATGTGAGTGAGTTTGCCCAGACACTTCAGATCCCCAGGAGCTGGAGTTACAGGTAGTTGTGAGCTAATGTGAGTGGTGGGAACTGAACTCTGGTCCCTTTGCAAGAGCAGTCAGAGCATCTAACCACTGAGCCATCTCTCCAGGCCAAGTAAAGATACTGTTTTCAAGCAAAAAACTTTCTGAAGAGATATGGATAAACTTCCTCTACTGCCCTGGACTAATGAGGCAGCTGAATGCAGGGATTCCTGTATGTTTTTAATAGTAAATGGAGCACAGAATAATGAATTTGAACCTGATGCTTTACAGTTAGAATACCACCACCCTCCCCTCTTCTGTGTTCAACTGGTACATTTTTGTTTGTTTGTTTGTTTTCGAGACAGGGTTTCTCCATGTAGTTTTGGAGCCTCTCCTGGATCTCGCTCTGTAGACCAGGCTGGCCTGGAACTCACAGAGATCAGCCTGGCTCTGCCTCCTGAGTGCTGGGGTTAAGGGCGTGCGCCACCACCGCCCGGCCCATTGCTACATCTTTTTGTTGCTTTTTCCTGTCAGGACCCAGAATAATTTTAACCTTTAAAAAGTGTAAAGCATCAAATAAAATGTAGTAAAACTGCCATGAATATTATCAGAGTTTATAACCTGAGTCACTCAGAATAGAATATTTTAGAGTGTTAAGAAAAAAGCCTCATTACCAATTCCACCTAATCCAAAATAATAGGGAGACATTTCATATTAGGAAACATATACACATCACTAAGCATGAAACTTAATTTATGAAATGATCCACATCAAAATACCTGTAAATGGAATCATTTCTGCTCTTCCTGTTCACAGGCTCCTTTACTAGATTCTTGTAGGAGTGTGGACCTTCTTCACTGGGAGAAGTTGCTCTGTGTCTAGGGGCACAGACAGCTCTTCCATGGTGGCAGCACTGGAGGCAGCATCTCTGATTACAGAGAGGCTGTTCTCTCTGAGGCATGCAATCCTGTAATTTCTCATCCCTAATTAGGACAGAGGGAGTGCCTGGGAAATACCACATTTCATAGTTCCTTTACAAATCTTTGACTCATAACTAAATTACCCAGTTGTAGAAAACTCCCACCTCTCATTTCTCTGGCAGAAGAAGATATTGATGGTGATGATGATAATGATGATGATGAGGGGGAGGAGGCAAATCAGAAGAATAAGAAAAAGGGGGAGGGAGAAGAAGAGAACGAGAAAGGAGGAAGAAAAGAAGAATAAAGAGGATGAATGGGAGGGGAGAAGGCAGGGGGAAGAGGAGGAGGAAGGCAAGGAGAAGGATGCCAGATGGTTAGTTTATCCATCAACTGAAGAGACATTGTGAGGCTAAAACCTCAAATTTAGGTTGTGTGAGAACTGCTGGGTTTCTGCACTGTAACATGTAGACTTCTGAGTTCCATCTCTAGGCATGCTGACTCAACATGTCTCAAGTAGAGTGTAGGACCAGATGGAGGGTTCAACAGTTCTAGAGCAAGTACAGAGGATTTGAGTTCAGCTCACAACCACTATATCTCCCTCCAGTGGGCAATGATCTCTGTGCACATACTCTCACAGAGGCGCGTGTGTGCACAAACACATACACACACCCCCAAAAAACAAAAACAAAAAAGCAAAAAATCAACCAAACAAAAAACTTCCAAAAAACAAATCGTGAGAATCTAAGTCCTTGTAGGCTGAGGATCAGCGGGAACAGCTTGTTTAGCATGGCCTGTGCAAAGCCCTGGGCTTGGTGACAAGCGGTACAATAAATAAAAAGCCAGTTAATCAACCAATTCCCCAACTTGCAAACCACCCCTTTGGGAATGGTGCTGTCTCTATGTTAGCAGCTGTGTCACACCTGAACCGGAGGAGCCACCGCCCAGCTGTCTGCAGTGCACTGACCCATGACTGTGAACCGCGTGCATCATGGACCCCATCTCCATCCTCAGTTCAACGCTCCCTCTGCAGCACTGCGCTCCACCGTGCCCCACTGCGCTCCACTGTGCTCCCTGCTCTTACCGTCTACTCTCCTGTCCTTGCTCCCTTCGCTCACAAAACCAGGAGAGCGGAGGGTCCTAGACGGCAGGGAAGGACTGGAGTTCATGAAGGGAGACTAAGGGGCTGTGAAAGCTCTACAGTTGAAGGTCTCAGTAGGTCCTTCCCAGAGGGAAGTGCACATGTGACTCCAGCGTGTGCATGTGTGCGTGCGTGTGTGCATGTGTGTGTGTTCCCTTTTAGAATGATGTTACTACCTTCTTCATCTCTCCACAAAAACAGTGGTTTGGGAGACCCACACCTCTCTGTCTCATACTCCAAATGATGTAGACTTCCCAGAAGTAAATTTTGTGTGTCCATAATTGGGGCAGGGCAATGTAGACCCATTGGAAGGAGGTGCATGAAGAAGGTCCAGAAGTTTCTTCCAGCAGGATGTGTGGGTGTCAGCCTTTGTAGTATAGGTCTTTTCTTCTTGAAAGTATCCCAACACATTTATAGGCACAGCGTACTTCATCTACTTCATAGCATCCATGCACAACACCAGCTCCTCCCATGTACACGAGCACACACAGCTTGCAGAAGTAAACATGTTAATATACAAGATGATTCATCCTAGTCCCAAGAGCCATTTTAGAAAAAAAAATTCCCCTAAGCAATATGCTCTATCCATGACAGCCAGCCACAATTTCAATGAGTGAGACACCTTCTCACAGTGGTTAACATATAGATCCAGCTGGGACTTTAAAGTCATCAGTCGGGTCACATTCCCAGGTTCACCAGGATGGGAAGGTCTTCCTGTAGACAGATAGCCCTCTAGGGACCAATGCATGTTGCAAGCATTTAATTCCTATTTCTGTTCTTGTTATTTCTTTAGCATCTTTCATTTCATTATTTGTTGTTTACCTATTTTAAAATTAACATGTAAAATTGTGTTGAGTTCTATGAATTTTATTGCATGCATAAATTTGTGAAACCGTTACCACAATCAAGACACAGGACACTTCCACCTCCCCAAAGTTCCACACCTATGCTTCTGAAGTCACACCCCCCTCCCACCTCATTCCCTAGCAACCATGGGATCTGTTTCCTGTCGAGCACTTTGTCTTTTGGATAATATACTGTGTAAGTGGAGTGGCGAGTGTGAGTGCCTTGGAGACTGTCTCTGTGATTAGCGACCTTGGAGCTGCGCCCTGATGCCCTGATCCTCATTAATGTTGCAATTATGGATTATTCAGCTACTTCAGGACTTCTGGATTGTTTCCACATTTCTGTGTTTGTAAATACAACTGCAATGGATATGCATAGGTAAGATTTTTACCTGAATATTAAGATTTCTTTTCAGTAAATATGTAGAAATATGATTGTTTGGCCATCTACAAAGTGCATGCTATTTGTAAAAACTGTCAAATCCTCTTCTGGAATGACTGTGTCAGTTTGCATTCTTCCTCTCAGTGTGTGAGGACTCGATGCTCTCTCTCTCCAGCAGCTCTCAGTTTGCCAGTGTTGGTGATTCTAGCTACCCTAGCAGTTGCAGTGTGGCAGCTCGGCATTGCTTCTGTTAGCTAGCATCCCTCCAGTGGTGGCGGTGCTGTTCTTCTATGGCAGATTTGAACACATCTTCCATTGAAGATTTTACAGTATCCATTTTAGGGATAATGTACACCTTTTAGATTAGCTACATTAGTGTATCTTTGTTTTCTGAACGCACTATTTTCTCTTGAATTAATTTTGTTGTCATTATTATCTCTATATCTTTGAACCACACATCTCTGTTTTTCCTATTTCTCCTACTATTGCTCTGAGTGAGGTCTGTCTCTAGCTTCCTACGGTAGCAGCTTTGATCATTAACTTGGCACTTCCTCTTTAATAAGCATGAATAGTGCAAATGTCTGATTCTGACTTTGGAAGCAGCTATGCATTCTGATACAATGTGTTCTATTCAGCTTCATGTACTTTCAAATTTTCCTTTTGACTTATTTTTTTAATTCATGCCCTCAAATATAGTCTGTCTTGGTGTCTATTTCATATTCTATCTGATCACTAATGTCAAGTTGGTTAGTGCTGTTTTTACACCTTTAATATCCCTTCTTTTTTCCTTTTCTTTTTATATGTGCTATTAACTACTAGAAAAAAGTGTGATTCTCAAACCATCTATATAGGTTCATCACTGACTCCTCCCCATTCAGTCAGGTTCCTCTCTTGTGTATTTTGATACTCTGTAAGTATGATAATATATATTTGTGTTTGCTAAGCTATTTTGATGAACTGATCCCTTTGTCCTCACATAATGCTTCTCTTTTTCTGTTATTATATTTGTTATTCTGGGGTCTATTTTTCTTATATTAACATGTCTGTTTCAATCATATATAACTGATCATGAACCATAGCCGTGGCTATTTGCATGGGGACTACAGAAGACTAAGCCTGTTTTACTTAAAAGTTATCTCAACGAGACAGATATTAGCATTTATGATCTGTGTATGTGAGAGCAAAAATTTTTATCAATCAATGCTTTTGGTCAAGGGAGCTTTAAAGATATAAATATAAATTGATGGAGGCACAGCATAAAGAGACAATCAGAGTATAATGTACATTCATACATTCTGTTATATATCTAGTTATAGTCACATAAATATTGTATAATAATATGCTACTAAACATAAATTAATCACTTGTTTCCAAAAATAATGATAGACATTTTCTAAAATAAAAATTGTGAATTTAAAGGGTTTAATACTTTCAACAATAAAAATTTTAGTCTATAATTCCACAAAGGAAATGACTTGGTCTGTTTCAAATACCAGTAAGAATTCTGTCACTTTAACCACATCACATACAAAGCACTCTGTGGTGGTTCTCTAGAGGAACAGAACTTTCAGAATGAGTCTGTATGTAGAAAGTGGATTTATTGGAATGGAGTACAGGCTGAGGTCCAGCATAGCCAACAATGACTGCCTAGGAACAGAAGGTCCAAGAATTCAGGAACTGTTCAGTCCATGACGTTGGATGTCTCAGCTGGTCTTCAGTATATGCCAGATTTCAGAAAAAAAGCAGACTCTAATGCCAGTGAAAGAATGGACTTGCTATCAAGAGTGAAATCAAGCAGGTAGGTAGGTAGGTAGGTAGGTAGGTAGGTAGGTAGGTAGATAGATAGATAGATAGATAGATAGATAGATAGATAGATAGATATGGAGATTTCTTTTTCCATATCCTTTATTCAGGCTGCCAGCAGAACGTGTGGTCCAGATTAAAGGTGGATCTTCCCACCTCAAAAGATCCGGATTAGAAATGGGTCTTCCCATTTCAAGTGATTTCATTAAGAACTAATTTCTCCCAGGTGTGCCCAGCCATTTGAGTTTTAGTTAATTCCAGATGTAGTCAAGTTGACAGCCAAGAACAGCCATCACAAGTGGCAACTTCATAGTAAACTATGAATAAGGAAACAAGTTATTCTTACCACTCCCATTAATACTAACGTATATGACGCCAAGTATGAAGTGCTCGGTGAGTGTTTATTGACCACAAACAGATAAATGGAATAAGTCAGCAGCTACAATATACCCCAAATACCTTCTTCTGCCCTTCCAAGGTACCAGGTATACATGTGGTGCACAGACATCCATGCAGGCAACACACACACACACACACACACACACACACACACACACACACATACACACACACACATGCATACACACATGCACACACACACACACACACACGCACAGTAAAGTGAAGAAGGAAAGTGAATGCTAGAAAAAATTAAATTTAAAGTTTATTGAGAGCCAAGAAACTTAGGTGGAATGAAATTTTCAGAAAGTTCTGGTATGTGAAAGCAAGCTAAGACTGCGAAGGTACAAGGACTTGCCAAAATTTATGGAGACTGAAGGCAAAGGATAGTTCAACCTTCTGCCCACAGACCCTCGAACATGGCGTGTGCCCATTGGTAAATGTGTGGAGTGAATGACTCCATTCTCCATCACTTTCTCTGGAATTTTCATAGGTCCCCATAGGTTCTCCACGGCCTCTGCACAGAAGACTTCAATCCTCCACTATGGTGCTAGCAGGAAGCCGTGATATCCGTAAGAGGTGGGGCTTCTTGTGAGGAAGTTCTATCCCCGTGTCCTTGAAGTCTCTTCCTGTGGTTCTTTGCTTTCCAGATACCATGGGGGTGACCAGCCTCCTCTAAGATGCCTTCCCATCACAAGGAACCAGGTGACTCCAGGCAAAGCAAAAGGCCAAGTGAGCACAACCTGAGACGACTGAAACGGTGAGCCGAAATGATAGTTTTTTAAAATAGGTTCTCTCAGGTATTTTGTTACAGTGACTGGAAGTGACTATATGGCTACTTTAAGGTTGTTGTAAGGTCACTATAACTTTTAAGTGTCGTTCAAACTAGGAAAACTTTATTGCCATAGTATCTGTACCCTTCAAGACTTCAAGTGGAAAACTTTGGTAATACTCAGCTAATGGCAGTCTAGGTCACGATCTGTTCTTTACTAGCCAGACTCACCTACCTGGGTTGGAATGAAGCACAGAAGTGTGTGGCTGCATCCATCACGTGGGGCAGCTTGGTTAAACACCATTCATCTTGTTTTCATGACAGTGTTACTCTCACCAGCTTTCCTTCTATGAGAAAACTGCATAATAATCAGAGAAATGAATGGAACAACATCTCCCTGTCTAGGGCAGGAATAGAGGAGAGCTAGCCAAGACAGACCTCAGGGTCCAGGAAAAACTCTCATTCGGTGTCATTTCCTGGGCACCATCAAGGCCCCAAGACCAGGGTGGCGTATTGATTTCTCACTTTGAAACTATTTCATCCATGTCTTAATTCATATCCATCCTCTTTTTTGCCAAAGAAAGTGACTAGTCTAAGGGCCACTTGAGAGTTCTCAACAGGGGGATAAATATGGAGCCCCTGAGTATTTCCTTTTCCCGTGTTCTTTCTCCGTATGGCTCTTTTCTTCTTAAGAAAGCTTGGTGGTGTCCTCCTCAACTTCTCTCACTCACAGCTTTTCTACAACTGTGTCCTCTCCCCTCCAGGAAACGTTGACTTGGGGGGACGGGACGGGACGAGGGAAGGGGTTTTTCTTGTACTGTCTGGAAGCAATAGGTACAATTGCCCGTGAAGCACGCTTTATCCAACAGTGCTGGGTGAAGGTGAGGAACGATTGGCCCACAGTGAGATTTCTGGTTCAGCGCTTTCTACAAACTATTTCATAATGGAAAACAAATGTGTTTTAAATGTGAAACAAAGAGAAAAGTTTCAAAGTATTTCCCTAATTAAAGAGTGGTTATCAAACATGTGGTGTTGTTCACTGTAAATAAACGCAGGAGATAACTCAGCAAGCTGTATTTATTTGTCCTTGCATATCTCGAGTGAATTTATGTGTGACAAACAATGGAGAAATGTGTGTGTGTGTGTGTGTGTGTGTGTG